AAAAAAAAAAAGAAAGAAAGAAACAAAAATGTAATGAGCTTTACATAGACAATTAATTCTTAGCCAGAGAAGAGAGATGCATCCTTTGCTTTGGGCTTTTGTGGTTCTTTTTCCTTCTGGAGAACCTCAGAAATTATGGTATTGGGTACTATACAGTAAATGAAAATAGGTAAGTCAGAACATACTTATTTGTGGGATATTTTTGGTTATGTAAAACTTGCAAAAGATTATATTGCTCTGCAGGTTAACTGGACACACCATAGTACTATATTTTTCAAGTAATTTTATTGCTAACGTCTCAGTGTTACTGGTAGCATTTGTTTTTCTGAACAGGAAATATGGTGACATGGTCATATCCTTGTGCATATCCATGCTGTGAACAGTCTACTACAAATATGCTATGTGTGGTGTACATAAATGTGAGATAATTAAAAGCCTTAAAAAAGTTAATTTGAGTATGAGAGATACCAAGTTCTTGTAAATGTCTCCCTAGTTAAAAATAGTGCAAGTAGTTGGTATAGTCTTTTGGTGAGGAGGAAATTCTGAAGTCAGACTGGTGTGCTTTTGTTAATTATTTGTGGAGGCCAGGTTGTGTTTTTGGAGGGGACCACTGTTGTATAAATGCTGAGAATTAATGTTTTAGCTTGTGAGCTAAAGAGCTGAAGAGTTTAAAATTTTTACTGTTATAAATTTTTATTATAGTCAATGTCTGTTAGAAAGAGAGGCATGAATAGATTGGTAATGATGGCACTTTAATTGTCATAATAGTGACACTTTAAAACAGTTTTCAAACAATAGACGATAGTGTAAGTAATTGCATTACTGTTACGTATTTACCTGGTGACCAGTGATACTGACTTCAGATCAGTTTAGGCCTGTTGTCACAGTGCTTTAAATAAATTTTCACAAGCACTGTCCATGGATTTATTTGTGGCTTTCCTTATTGGAGAGAATGGAGCCGAAATTGATCTTAGAAATGGCACAGCAGGATTTTGCAGCTCTTTGGCTCTAATTGCACCGATATTGCACTCCTTAGGCTGCAACAATAAACCATAAAAAGGAATCTGGCAATAAAATTTCAGACTTGCTTTTGATTTTCTCCCTCTGCATTTTCCTAGCATTGTTTTAGGAAAACTTTACACTTTTGATGGCATCGTATAGTTCCAATATTGTGATTAAAATAAGTATATGACACGCTAATTAACTAAACAGTGCACAGGAAGTGCACCATGACTCATGACTCATCTGAGAAACACTTAATCATGAGAATTTGAACAGGATATCATTTATTTTTTCCTACATGCTTTTTCAAGAATAACTGTGGTGGCAGGTGGATGTGGCTTCCTGGAAAAATAATCTGTACCTTGCATTTTGTTTTGTTTTTAAGATGGATGAGAAAAGATAGTTGAAGTCCTAAAGAACAGAGATCTTAATTATTTTATTTATGCTATAACTGCTGATTCTGGTACAAAAAAGCTGACTATCATAAGCCACTGGTTGGTTTGTTCTCAAGTGTTACTGTTGTGTTATTTTTGGGCTGTCCAAGCAAGCAAAACTTCCAACTTTTCGTTGAATTATTGACCTTTTACTTTTGAGGCGATTATGTCTGATTCTTGGGATTTGTCCTGTGCTCGCGTTTCTGTTTCTGTTGCAGCTGAAATTGAAGTGATGCTAGAATGCTAAATATTCATTTCAGTAGAAGGAAATGAGTAAATGATAACAAAGAAAATACCTGAGGAGTCTCACACAGAACTGCACAGTAAGAGGTCTGTGTGTGATTCCCGGACATCCTTACCCACGATAATTTTTAGGGGTATGTTTCTACATGTAAAATCGATGCTCAGGGTTTAGAGGGGAGATATTTGAATCTAGAGAGATTTAGATTTTTGAGATGCAGATTATCAACTACTGTTACTTACCCAAAACTCTTTGTGAATTTTGTGTTTCTGTGTTTTGCTTTCCATAAGACTTTGATACGTAGCCTTACACTTTTTTGCAAAACTAGAGTGGACACTGCTCTTCATCATTACATATCTAAATACATTTTGATATTTGCCTCTGTATCTACATGGTCAGATGGGAGTTAGAACACATGTCATACTCCACATTCAGAAAATTATTGGGGAGAAAAGCTTCTACCCCAGAAAAAGCTCCACTGAATTGCCAAGCAAAAATTCTGCATGTTTACTCCATTCAAGAATAAAAAAGTTCTGTTGATTTTTTTTTTTGTGTGTGTGTGTTTTCCTTTTGCTAGGAATTGGTCAGATACATGCTAAACCTTGCAATAGCTAACCTCCTGTGTGTGATTACTGTTATGGAAATAACTGTCTTTTGTAATAATAAAATATTTCTCTCAGGGAACCTTTTTGCAACTTAAGCAATCCTACAAGAAATTAAGTGTTTCTCCTGGCTGAGGGAGGGTGCCAGATTCACGCACTTCTCTAACAGTCATGGGAAATTTTTTAAAAGCCTCTCACTTGAACATGTGTGTAAAAACAGTTTGTGACCTTCCCATCACAGTCACATACTTCCTGAAAAAAATTATGTATGAGCTTGAGCTCCAGATGTGACAAGACAAGAATTACCACCAAATTTTGATTGGGAATTCATCCTGGCTAATGAAGATGATGTATATCATATGGTGCTACAAAAAGACAATTTTTCTTAGAGTCTGCTTGATTGCTTACTGATATATAGCATTCCATAAAGTGACTTAGCAAAATTCAAAATTAGCATTTTTACCTTTTTAATTAATTTCTAACTAATTTCAAACCCTTATTTTTCTCACTCATGCAAAATATTTTTATAAGATCCCTCAGACCTTATGGGACAGAACATTAATTATGAGTGTATATGCATTGATTTTAATACATTAAAATTAGTAATTGTCAGCATGATCTTCGTGTATGTTTGGAAAAAAAGTACAATTTCAGACTTACAAAAGGAAGAACATGTTTTTAACAATGAAGCTGCTCTTTCCACTCTGTATTGCTTCTGTTGCCCTTAAGATATTGAGGTGAAGAAATAAAGTAAATTCCATCAGCTAAAAATAACAAAGATAACAGAAACACATAAATCAAGTATAAATAATAGCCACACAAGTGAACTGAGGATTTGAAACAGTAGTTGTGGTCTCTAACAGCAGGAGTGGATAAAAACAGAGCAATGAAATACCCTTTAATAGTTTTGAATAATTATTAGTATTGTCTAAGCCAGTCAATTTTTAAACATTGAAAACTTTTTACATGCATATGCATAGTGTCTTTTTTGACAATCGTGCCTTTTTCTTTGCATATAAATTGAGGTAAATAAGAATCATAGAATGGTTAGGGTTGGAAGGGACCTTAAAGATCATCTAGTTTCAAGCCCCCTGCCATGGGCAGAGAAATCCTCCACTACACCAGGTTGCTCAAAGCCTCATCTAACCTGGCCTTGAACACTTCCAGGGATGGGGCATCCACAACTTCTCTGGGCAACCTGTTCCACTGCCTCACCACCCTCAATGTAAAAAATTTCTTCCTTATATCTAATCGAAATCTGCCCTCTTTCAGTTTGAATCCATTGCCCCTTGTCCTATCACTACACGCCCTTGTAAAAAGTCCCTCTCCAGCTTTCCTGTAGGCCCCCTTTAGGTACTGGAAAGCTGCTATAAGATCACTCCGGAGCCTTCTCTTCTCCAGGCTGAACAGCCCCAACTCTCTCAGCCTGTCTTCATAGCAGATGTGCTCCAGCCCTTGGATCATCTTCGTGGCCCTCCTCTGGACTTGCTTCAGTAGCTCCATGTCCTTCTTATGTTGGGGACTCCAGAGCTGAACACAGTATTCTAGGTGGGGTCTCACAAGAGCTGAGTAGAGGGGCAGAATCACTTCCCTCGACCTGCTGGCCACGCTCCTTTTGATACAGCCCAGGATACGGTTGGCTTTCTGGGCTACTGGTGCACATTGCCGGCTCATGTTGAGCTTCTCATTGACCAGCACTCCCAAGTCCTTTTCCTCAGGGCTGCTCTCAATCCATTCTCCGCCCAGCCTGTACTTGTGCTTGGGATTGCCCCGACCCACTTGCAGGACCTTGCACTTGGCCTTGTTGAACTTCATGAGGTTCTCACAGGCCCATATTTTGAGTCTTAGGGACTGTCATACTACACTTTAACAAAACAATTTGCTTTATTTGATCAATCAACTGGGTGCAAATGTTTGAATATTGTTATGCTTAAACCTAAGCTGTGGTTTTAAATATTGCAGTGATTAAAACACAGTTTAACTTTTGTTTGCTTCTTTGTTTTAACATAGTTTACAATATCGAAGCTATATCATCATTATTTATGTTCTGTGGAATATGGTTAAGTTAAAAAGCTTTATGGACACCAAAATATGAGGCTATTTCAAGGAAAGATTTTTATGCTTTACAAGACATTAAAACTTCATGTGTAAAATACTGGTAACACTGAAGTTTTTAAGTTGCACTTAGTGAAGCACTAATTCACAAATACTAATTGAGTAATTACAAATGTGTTGCTGCAGCATTCAAAGCATTTATATGCTGGGAGTAAAAGCGGGTTGTTGTGGTTTGGCTTTTTTTTTTTCTTTTTTTTTTTTTTTTTTTTTTTAAATTCATTTTCCAGTGGACTGAATATATTAGTGATGAATGTACTGTGAAACTGTTTGTTTCCATGCTGGAAAAGTTTCATGGCTCCAGCAGTTGCTAGCCATTTTACCACACAGCATCCATCATGTTGTCAAAGTTTTAATGTTTTGTAGTGAACCACCTAGGAGAGAAAGGAGAAAAGAATGACAAAACAGCCAAATTCTTTCATTCCGTGCCAAAAAAGTGACCAAAGTTTATCCCTGTTTGCCCTTGGAACAATTAATGTGACATTTTCCCGAATGCCATACTAAATGTGATTGTCAGTTATTGAAATGTATGTTTAAATCAGCAGTGATGCAACTCTAAATGCTTTTTTCATTAATGTCATTGAATCCTTAACCCACAACCTCTGACACATAACAGAATTAGAAAGCCTTTTGGATCATTTGGCTGACGTTGTGCCCTCACTACAGTATCTCAGTTTGCTTGGAAACATGGCCTGCCCAAATGAACTGGTCTGCAAAGAAAAGGATGAAGATGACTACCAGAGGTACAGGTTAGTGATTTCACTTGTTGATATGATTAAGACATGTTAGTTTTGTTTTATTACCTGAAAAGCATTGAACTAAAACCAATTCAGAGTCTCAAACAAACATCTACTTTATTCTGAAAGCATTGTGACATATTCTGCCATGAAACACCTGGGAATTTGAGTATCCCCATTTCAATGAGATTACTCTCAGGGAACCCTATTTCAAGAAGTATTTTAGTGGTGTACAGCACATGTTTGAGTTGAGAAGGTGGCCACAGGATTTCCTGAATGTGGGTGCTCATACGTGCCTACTTATGGCCTTTCCTTCTTTAAGGTAAGGCAACATTTACATACACTAAGTGTGGCAGTCAAAAAAACCTCCACAACACTACATTCAGATAGCCAGCTGCATTGTCTTCTGCTAGCGTTTGATTATGGTGATTAGTTTCTTCTACTGTAGTTATCAAGGCACTATTAAAGAATACAGAACAACTCACTCCTCCTGTATCGTGCTGCTTAACTCAGAGCAGTTCATGTTTAGATTCAAATAAAAAACCCCAAGCTCTCTCTGTAACATAATTCTAATGAGCTAGGTTGCAGAAGAGATAATCTGGAAATTAATATGGAAGCCTGATAAAATACTGTGTGTCCAATTGAAATGTTGCTAAAAATTGCAAAGGTATTTTTTAAAAATAAAAGTACTTATGACTGATGATGACTGTGAATACAGATCCAAAACTTACGTAATGTCTGCTGAAGTGACGTCATTTTCATAGTGATAACTTTTAGGCAAGGGAAGCTTTGATTATTAAAAAAAAATAAAACAATCATTGGATTTCTTTTTCCTTGGTCACATCTGATACAAGATTTCAGTCTTTGTGTGCTGGCATTTTTCACATCTGCTGAAAATGGCTGTCTGCGGCAGGTCAGAGCCAAGCAGCACTGGTCACCATGCTGCTGACCTTGCAGAGCCTGAGCTTACTTCTTATTAGCAGATTACCCGCAGCATTCAGAGTTATACAATAAAACTCTGATTTTATCTTCATGTAAGCCACAATCTGCTATAGGAGTTTGTATAAAACAATACAAAGTGGCAGAGACTAAAAGCAGGTTTATTGGAAAGTAGCATGAATTCAATGCACCAGTTTATTGCTCATAAATGCTGTAGGTTGAAACAGCAGCACAGCTCTTCCAGGTATGCATATAGTTTTTTTTGTTCCAAATTTTTGAGAAGGATTTCTAGGTTATTATCAGCCTGAAGACTTTTACCTTGTAATGATTCAACTTTTGAATCCAGCTTAGCCGTAGCATTTTGGTTTTCACCAAGTAGAGCAGCCTAGATGTAATAAAATATTTTCCTGTTTCTTTTACACTTAAGTGGAAGGTATGCCTACTATCCAGTTTATGAGAGTCTAATAGTGCTGTCTCTATGTAAATTTATGTGGCATTTGCACTAGAGAACTGCTTAAAAAATGAATGATATTTCTACAGTTTACTGTTTTTCACTTTAAGTATGTTTTCTGACAATATGTCTCCTATTAATCATTTAGGCAAAAGTAGTACATTAAAGGAGCCATTCAGAGACAAGAACCCATGGTTCATTTAGTGCTATCTGAAAAAATTCTTTATTGATTGACATCCTCTGTGGTTATGTGATGTAATATTTATAATATGTCACACAGCCATACATCAAAACAAGCATGTCTGTTGTTTCATTTCATAGCAAAATGTTGATTTCAGGGAGGTCAAGGTAGTTTTAGGTCACATCGTGGCAAACCACCGTGGCAAAGTGTGAAGTGATTGTATTCTTGCATCTACTGGAAACTGCAACGTTGCTTCCGTTTTCTTTCCCCTCAATTTTTCCAAAACCTAGGTATTTTTTTTTCCTCATTAAACTAGGTTAATTAAAGCTCTTTTAAGAAAGAAGAATTGACTTCTAATTAGTAGAACGATTTATGATTCTACTGGTATAATGAAAGCTTCCTGATCCTGTTCCATAATTATTTGTTACATTAGATGAAATGTGTTTGCCAGACATTGTTAGACTCAAAAAACAAAAGCATCTACCTACCTAATCTATCTTCAGGGGAATATATTCACCTACATGGTGAAACTGATTAAAAGTACTCTGCTAATCTTACTCTGAGTAGCTAATTCAGTTTTGAGTACACATACTGAAGCACCTTGGACACAACTATTTTCCTCCTTCCCCTTTTCCTCCTTATTTCACAGATTTAACAGCAGCAAGCTTTCCCGAGGAAGAAAATTGTATCAAAAATATTGCTTCAAATCTCAAAAGCAAACATTTGAAATGGCCAATGTCAGCTTTTTTGTTATGATTTGACGTAACTTTTTTTTCATAAGATTTTTCTTTTTCTGAGAAAATTCGTCACATAGAAAACATCAAAAGATTTCATTTCAGTGAACCTGAATTATGTAAACATTTTGGTTTACTATAAACATTAAGTGGTTTTGTTTTGTTCTGAATAGGAACTTTTCTGAAAATTTTTGCAGTGACTGTTGGAACCACAGCTTTATTTTTCATTGAGCTTTAATTTCATTTGTACTGAGTTCAATTAGAGTTCAGGCTATTTAATTCCTCAACCAGAAAGAGAAAGGTGCTGGAAATCAAAGCTTTACTTAATCTTCTCATTCCAACAAACTGAAAAGCTCTGTAAACCCTTCAAAATCTCAACCTTAAAAGTGGAAAATCAAATTTTTAAAAACTCAAGGTCCAGTGATTTACTGTGTTATTAGCAAAAGAGATAAGAATTAATATTATATCTTTAAAAAATAATTAGTTTTTTCATAAATACTTGAAAAAATATATAAATATGTCGAACTTAAAATCTGGTTCCTCAGGTAATCCGTTGGTATACCATTTCTATCAGTTTCAATACAAAAGCTTTTTTCTAGTTTTTCACTAAAAATAGGTTTTATACAAAAACATTGTTGTAACTTTGAGAAAAGGTAGTTATTTTTTTTTTTCCAAGAAACATAGTAACATTTGAGTGGGATGTTATTTTAGAAAAAGAAAGACCTATTTTTTTTTCCATCCCTGTTAGTCCTCCTTACCTTTCAAGTGTGTAGGAGAACAAATTGATAAAACATTTCTGTTATTGGAATTTTTGCTTGGAGAAAAGAAAATGTCAAGTTCTCTTCTGCGATATTTTTCTAAGCAAAGTTGTGTGGTTCATTTTAAAAACTCATGTTTTTTTCCATCCTTGTAAAATGGCTTTAGTTTCTTTCTGTAAAAAAAAAATAAAAAAATTGTAGTATAAATTCTTACTTTTTATCGTATTTTTTAAGCTTTCTGCATTTGGGAGGTGATATTTTGTAAAGGGCTATCCTGGGGGTGAGGGCAAGGGAAAGCAGAATATCCAAAATATAATGATGATAGGAAAGTTTTAAAAGCTTTTGGCTCAAACAGGAAGCAACAAACACAGAAAAATAGCTTGCAAAACTGTGTGTGTTCTAAAATAACCTATTCTATAATTTCTACTTTGAAGATTGCGTGAAAGCAAAGGTCATGACCTGGAGATCAAAGTAACAGAAGTCAACACAGTAATTGCTGGTTGCTTCTCTTGTACCCACACTTGGTCAGTCCTGTGGGTGTATTGTTTGCAGGGAAAACTTCAAACGTGGTGTTACTGAACTGTGAAAAATCATCTGGGTCAGAATGTATTACAAAGCGCTTGCTAATGCCGCAGGTGACCTCACCTATTTTAATTAAAGCGATATTATTGTGAAGGATGTATGCCATGTGTGAAGTTTTCAGTGCTTGTTCATTCTTCTTTGCTCCTTATTGACATTTCCTGGAATGATGCATTCAGTAAGCGCTGTTGACATGGAAACAAGGGCAAGTGGAAACAAATGCCTGAGTTTATTTTAAATTAGCTTAGAAGTACGTATACTAGATATGCTATCTTTGGCAGGGGGAGCAAATGGTGATAACCTTATGAAATCCTCTTAAGATATAACAGCAAGAAAGGAAGTGCATGCGTTTTGTATGGATTAACTTTTCAAGCTTAATCAGCCATTCCCATCCCACAGGTTTGATTCTTTGAAATGCTGGGTCTTCTTGAAGCATTTTCAGTATCCTTGCTGGGTTTTTTTTATTGTGGTTTTGTTTTGGTTTATTATTATATGGTCTGCTCATCTATTTTAAATAGTCTTGTTATTGAATTTGAATGGTAATATAAATACTTAAATACATATTCAAGAAGCAATACGACACTAGACGTCCTCACTCGGTACTCGGTATATGTTTTTTATTTACTTCATGAGATGATTATACCTGTATAATCTATGAATCTGTGCTACTTCACTATTTGCATGAGGCCTTGTCATTCCTACAGTTCCTTGAAGCAAAAAAGCTGTCTTCAATAGTCATCAAATAGCCACAAAACTTCCATCCAAGATTAGCCACTGTAAGGGTTTATGAGCAAGGGCTATTATAACGTTTTTGTTCAGCCAAATAAATAAAGTCCATAATACCCCAATTTGTTCATATTAAAACATTAAGTCAAGAGATAACTATAATTATTGTTACATGTATAGACAGAGATTTTTCTAATTCATAAAGCTATTCGCTATATTGAAGTGGAGCAGAGGATGTTAAAGTATTAGGAAGCAATCTGGATGGATTTCTGGGTGACTTGAGAGCCCCTCAGAATTAAATGGTCATCACCAAGCAGCGCCAAGTTTGCAGAGAGCATATGTGATCCTCTAACATACCTTATGCTAACATCACACCCTCTCTTCAGGAAGATACTGGTTTAAGTTTGTGACCTGGCTTCTTTAACTGTATTGAGGAAGTTTCGTTGCAGATCAAAATTCTGCAGCCAGTAATATGTTGTTTGGTTGGGAAGGGGTGGGGTTAGGGTGTTAACTTTTTGGTGATGCAGAAGAAAGTATTACAGGAGATAATCTAGTTCAGTGTCATAAACATGTTTGCTCAGTCCTTCTGTTTTTTTGTTTTCATGTCTTCCATTTGAATGCCGATGTAACTTTGCCAGCTTCAG